CTTGTAAACCAGCTAGTCCCCCTAAACTAGCCAGCCCTTGTAAACCAGCTAGTCCCCCTAAACCAGCCAGTCCCCCTAAACCAGCCGGCTCCCCCAAACCAGCCAGCCCCTAAACCAGCGAGGCCCACAAGGTGTCGGGACCCCGCCGTGCTGGCTGCCGTGGCGCTGTGCGGGGAGGTGGGCGCAGACGTGCCTGCCCTGACTGTGTGTCGCTGGTGGGCTCGCCGAGCTCTCCCGTCAGCGGGTCTGCGTGACCCTGTGTGCTGCGGGAGGGACCGACACTGTGACAGGGACAGCTGGATCGTGTGGCCAGGGCTGTGGCTGCTGTCACTGCCCCCCCTCCCTACGGGGGACGTGGAGCACGCGTGACCTCGTGCGTGTTCGCTCGCGCGTTCAGTTGGCAGACACCTGCCAGGCGCTGCCGCGTGCCGGTCCCCCGGTCCTGGGGTTGGACGTTCTGCGGGGAGACGTGTCGCGCCGCGTCAGCAGACCTGTGTGCCCGGCGTGGCGGAGCTGGGACGACGGCGCGGGGCGAGGGTTTTAGGGGGCCCGTTCCTCGTTGGTTTTGGGTTAAACCCCCAGCTGTGTGAAAGGCAGGGGAGCCCCAGCGCAGGGGCCCAGGGAGACGCAGGGGGCGGGCAGGCCCCACGCAGCGCGTCTGACGTTGAGACGCGGCTTTTGCGCAGTGGCAGAGAGGCCTGCGCACAGCCAGGTTGGTCTCCGCGGCCCCACGTGGAAGCACAGGGTGCGGGTCTGGGGCAGAGCCTGAGGCTGCCGCTGCGGCTCCGCGGCAGAGGCTTCCGGATCATTCATCCGTTTTCCCAGAGCCGTGCATGCCGTCGCGGCCTGCAGGCGATGTTCATTTGTCCCGTGTCACGCTGGGACCAGTCCCAACCCTGCAGAGCTGGGGCGGAGCTCACGCGGCCCTTCTCCCGCCCCGGCAGGACCCGCAGACGTCCAGGACGCTGACCCTCGTCTCCAAGACCATCCAGACGCTCGGCAGCTTGTCCAAGTCCAAGTCCGTAAGTCTGACGCCGTCCTGGGCTCTCTCGTGGGAACACGCTGCTTCCTTTCTCCCCTCTGGAACTGCCGACTACGGACCTCACACACAGGCGCGGTTAACACATCGTAAGGACAGAGAACAAAAGTGCAAACTAGCACCAGGTCCCCACCAACCAGCTTACGACATAGAACATTCCAGAGCCTTCCAGGCGCATCCGTGCCCTCCGGAATTACCATTCTTTGCCTTTCGAGAGCACGTGCGCACGGCTCCCCTGCAGGGCAGCTAACGCGTGGCCTCTGACGGGCCTGAGGTGGCCGTGAGTGGGCTCCGTTCCTGGCCCAGCCGCCCTGCGATGGCTCCAGGACCCGGCGGCCACTCGTCCCACGCCGGGCGGGGCGCTGAGCCCACCCGTGCCCGTGGCAATGACCGGTTCCCGGTGCTGTCACCTCCGCTGGGCTGGGGGCCCTCGAGGGTCTGCTCTAACCCCCATCCCCCAAGAACACTCCTGTGTGTGACTCGCGACTCGCCGTTAGAGGACGGCGACGCCGACACCTGAGGTCCCGGTGGGGGTGTGCGTCGGGGGCGGAGGCTGGCTCTGCGCCGTGCGCCATCTGGCTCTGCGCCGTGCGCCATCTGGGCGGCCGAGGCGGGCGAGTCGCCCCTCACGGCTCTGTCTGGAAAGAGCTGGACAGTGACCCGCAGACGCCCCCCAGCCCCCGTCCTCCGAGCTTGGCGCGGTCAGGGCCGCGGGGACCCAGGTCCTGCACGGAGAAGGCCGGTGCCCTCGGGGAGCCTCGGTTTCTCCAGAGCAGTCAGCAGAAGCCGCGCGCATGCACGGCAAGCAGGGTGCTGCTGGCCGCCCCCAGCCCATCCCGGTCTGTGCGCCGGACGCGGTGCCGGGCCTAGGGCCATGCCAGGCCCCCCACGGTTCCTGTCCAGAAACCGCTCCGCGAGAGCAGTGGGTGGAGCATCCCCATCTCCCCCAGGCCCCACTCAGGGTGGCTTCGCGCCTCAAGGCAGAACGTGGGCTCCGTCAGCGCTGGGGCCCGGCCTGCGACCCACCCCCGCAGCCACACCTGCCCGAGGGACCACGGGGGGGAAACCGAGTCGTCTGTGACTCCCCGTCCGACTCCTTTCCGCACACGCCTGGCCTGGTCGGGGCCAGCCCTGTGGCTCCACCACGCACCGGCGGTTTCTGGGTCTCACTTTAAACATCGCGGCTTGCTTGGGCTTACCGTGCGCAGTTGGTGCCTCTGGCCTGCGGGTTGGCCACGCGCGGCGGCACTTGGCCTCACCGCGTGGCGGTCTCGTTGCAGGCCAGTTTCAAGGAGTCGTACATGGCCACGTTCTACGAGTTCTTCAACGAGCAGAAATACGCGGATGCCGTGAAAAACGTGAGTGTCGGTGTCAAGTGACGCAGTCGCTGCCTGTCGCGTTGGGCCTGGGAAACAGCGTCGCCCTTTTCAGTTGAGGCGAAATCTGCGCAACACGAAATTGGCGTTAACGCCTAAAACGTCTCGGCGCCTTTAGGCCGCTCACGGTGCTGCCCATGCGCCCCTCTGCCGGTTCCAGGGCGCCCTCGCCACACGGGTTGCTCAGTTCTCCTTGGCTCCGCCCCGTGGCCCCCCACGCTCTGCGTCTGAGCCCCTCCCCTCTGGCCACCTGCGCAGGGCACTTGCGTGTGTCACGGCCTTGCCCACCCCGTGACCCGGCCCAGAGTCGGGTTCACGGTTACAGGAAAACGCTCTGCGCCCAGAGCGCTGCCCTCCTCTGCTGCTGAGACACAGCCCTGGGCACGCTCTGTCGGGACCGCAGACGCCGCGCACGAGGGCAGGGAGGGAGCGGCGCCCGGAGCAGCCCCCAGCGGGTGGGAGGGTCTGAGCCAATCACAGCGCGGTTGGGTTGGCAGGGAGGCCCCACCTGCCAAAACCCACCACACCCGGGGGGCCGGCTCTTGGGGACCCAGGGCAGCGCCTGCCCATGGGAAGTGGCGGTTCGGGCTGGGCCTGTGCCTACCCCACCTCCTGCTCGGTTCCCTGTGAGCTGCAGGTGGATTCCAGGTGCGACCCGAGCCTGGCCTCTCCTCGCACACCCGAAGGCACAGCAGGAGGCCGCGCGGTCCTCGAGGGCGGCCCCTCCCCCAGTCCTGCTCCGAGGAGACTTGGCGTCCCCAGCCGTCCCCACGCGAGAGAACAGGTGTGCGGGCTGTGGCTGCCCTGCTAACGGCCTGTTGCTTTCCCGCCGCAGTTCCTGGACCTGATCTCGTCCTCGGGGAGAAGAGACCCCAAGAGCGTAGAGCAGCCCATCCTGCTCAAGGAAGGGTAAGCCGGCGCCGCTGCCGCCAGAGGGGGACACGGGTGGGCTGCAGCCCATCGAGGCAGGGCGGCCCCGGGGCTGTGGGGCTCTGGCTGGAGACGCGGCCTCCCTGTCCCTTCCCCGCGGCTCCCACAGACTCCGCACGGTGGAGAGGTGCCTGGGGGGGAGCTGCACGGCCGGGGGGGGATCCCGCACATGGCCCAGCCACACCCGCCTCCTGGCGCCTCCCCCCTCCCCACGCTCCCAGGGTTTCCTCTCGGGCGCGGGAGTTGCCTTGGGCGCCCACCCCATGGGCTCAGCTCGCTTCCTCTGCGGCTCTCTCTGTGGTCCTTGGCGGTAGACGCGATCGCGTGGCATCTCGTCACTGAGCTCCGGTCTGTCCTCTGACCTGCCGGGGGCCCCGCACATGGGAGCCCCCGTTCCTCCCTGCATAGCTTGGCAGGTCTCCCGGGCCCTGCCAGCCGTCCCAGGGCGCGTCGGGCTCCAGCCAGGGCTCTGCCGTGTGGCC